GTTTTTTTTTTTTTTTTTTTTTTCGCTTTCCTTTTGTGCTGTTTTTTAATGGACCTTGATGAATTGTTTTACCCTTCTGTCCATTTTGTTACTCTGTATATTGTGTAATCGTTTTGACTTGAGTGTTCTTCAAAAGTAGAATGACCTTCACGCTTTTAGATGATAGCGCTTCAAGGTTTAGCAGTAGAACTCAAACATGCATTCCTACATATCAGCTGCTCGTAAATGTTCCATTAACAAATCTGTATGCTACACTTGATCCCTTTAGATATGATATTTGAAACCATGGATATGTTTGCATATACACGGCATGACTATTGTGCATGCTAACCTTGCTAAACTGATATTCATGGAGCTTTTGCAACAGACATTGGGGCAGAAGAACAGTCTCGCTGTCTTTATTCTAACCAATGAGCACAAGTGGGAATAGATGTAAATCATCGCACTCCGGCTTTCATCTGAAAAGACCCACATTATTGCACTTGGTTTTACAGAATTTCCATTGTTATTTTTTAAATGATGCCTGCAAAATCAGGTGCCTTATTCAGACATGAAAACCCAAACTTGATCTATTGACATTTTCTACAGAAATGCGATTTTGCCCATTATGCCAAGAATTAAATCACAACTTTCCTCTGAAATTCTATTTTTTTTTTCTGCTGTGTCCAGCAGTAAGCTTGCTTCAGATGAGAACTGTTGCTGCTTTGTCCTCATACAGTTTTCATTGAAAGATGAATGTAGTCTTCCTTCAGTGGAGTTCAATATAAACGTAAAGACTGTGTCCCATAGATTTTGGTTGAGAGACTATCCAAAGAGTGCTGCAATCATAAACTCATTTTTTAAATGTTTATATCATCATTATAAATATATATGTAAACCATGTGAGATTTCTTCTGTTTAGGTTCTTGGTTGGAATTGTCTCTGCCTTTGTTTTGACCTTGGTAGAAGCAGGTTAATCCATTTGGACATGATACATTGTAACTTTTAAACGCTCGACGTACGCCGTGATGGATTCCTCCGAAGCCCTCCGAGTGGAAGAAGTTTGCAAAGACAATGTAAAACCTCGTCAACATTGTGTCCCCTCACCAATGCTCAAGATTATTGTGCCTCCCGATTCTTCTGGTTCTACTGTTCCTCAGATCGCCGGCTATTGGGTTCAAAGAAACTTGTACATTGGGTAGGAGTCCTGTCTCGCCACCCATGGTGCTGAATTTCAAAATATGTACTTGAACACCCTCAGAGCTGTGACTTGGCACGCGCTGTCAGGTCCGTGAACTCTTCTCCTTCCCCGATCTTACCGTTCCGAAATAAAGTTGCTCTTACGACATTTGCTCAAGCCACTGCAACACCTGTGCCAAGACCTGACCCCAAACCGGGCGCTCATATTGGACTTGGAACGAACCAGTGGTCGGGCGGGAAAAGGGCCGTGTTAATGTAGCGGTGATAGCCCATTTTAATTGTCTGTTTGCTTGTTTATTTCTTTTTCTGTTGAGGAAGACATGGAGAGCTAGTAGGGTCACTTGTGGCGCTTTTCCACTGCGTGGTACGACTTGGCACGGCTCAGTATGGTACGGCACGGAACGGCTCGGTTTGCGTTTCCACTGCAGGTTCAGTACCGCTTTAGAGTGGGCGGGATTATTCACGTGTGGTTTATAGTTGCGCTGCCTCTACTGCCACGACTCCTGAAAAACTTTTTCATTCTGCCTCGCCCCATCAAGCTCTTGCTGGATCCGCTCCTCTGCTATCAACGAGAGGAACGTCTGTATTTCCTCAACAGACAGCGATACAGCCACTTTTTGGTTGTTAAAAAAGGTGCGCTCGTTCAAAACAGTTGCGTTCGATCCTTCGCTGGCTGTGCTGATTTAAATCTAGCGGTTCTGTTGTGTTTGTGTTGCAAGTTCAGTGACGCATGTAGTGACGATTCTCTCCGGCCAATCCGTGACCAGTAGAGTTTACACGTCACATTTTGGTAACGGTACGGTTCACTTGGAACCTCAACCGAGGTGGTACTAAAAAAAGTACCAGGTACCAGGTACTGTACCCAGTGGAAAACCCCCCAAAAGTGAACCGTACCGAGCCGTACCATGCAGTGGAAAAGCGCCATTGGACTGTTGGGCCCAGATCCCTTGCACTGAAGTGCACCGGACACACTCGAATCACTACGCTAAAACCAACGTTACCAAAAAGGTCGTCAAGGAACGCTCGCACCTGTCCGATCGCATACTTTTCTATGCTTTTCTATGGTGATTTACATTCCCTTCCGACCTTTGCCAAATTTGCATCGAGCAACTAAATTGACCTTCAACATTGGAAGCGTGTTTGCGAAAACATAACCAGGGCCACCAAAACCCTTTTGTTTTGATTTTATTTTGTTTCTTTAGTTTCGAAAATCCATACAACGTTCAATTTAAAAGGATTGACGCGAAATGTCAATCTAAAAAAAACAAAACAAAAAAATATATATACACAATACGTGACCTTGTGCTTCTAATGTTGTATGGTATTCTACTTGATAATTTAGCATGGGATCCTTAAGTAGCTAGTACTGTGTGTGTGAACTCCCAAAGTGTAAAATCTTTCTCCTTTTTTTTTTTTATTTTGTTTGTTCTAGTCACAGTAGGAAGGCTGTATTTCATTGCTAAGTGCTCTGTCATAGATCTCTTGGTGATATTCTTAAGCAAAACTCTGCAGAAGTGTATCCTACTGAAACTAACAGTTACTTGATCCTATTAGCAATGTCTATATTTGTAGTTCACATATATGCCTGTTCAAATACAATATCTTGACAGTTGTTCTATTTATGTTTCAGTGTTGTGCTGGGTTTTGACATACATTGGACATTTTCTTTCACTTATTTCTTTCTGTATTTTTTTTTTCCGGCACAACTAGTTGGAGAACAGCTTGGTTTATTGAGCCTTGTTAGTGTACAGATGTGAAGTAGGCTTAAAAGCAGTTGTGATTGGTCTTCAAAATGTGTCTGTTTGTGTTATTGTGCCTCTTATTATTTGATTTCAGTTTTTTGTATTATCCTTAATTATGTCACTGCATTGTATCAGCCCGGAGTTGGTACCACAATTCTGCTTGTAACCATGATAGTCTAATTCTATCATTGATTTTACTATCAAAATAAACATTAGAAACTGCAGCACTTCATCTGTCATGCGTTTTTACTTTACCTTAATAAATGCAAGAAGCATTTTCACTAGACTATTGCACCTTGAACCTCTTGGATGCCTAGCACTTCTGGCAACTGTCATGCATTTCTAAGTAAAAATTAAACCTCAAACTTTCCACTGTTATTCTGTCAATAGTTGTGTGGTTATGTTCTTCTTCACAGTACTCTTTGAATGTTGAGAAGTTATTTGACTTGTTTTAAAAGTCTAAATCCGTCCTATATGTGTGTGTGTGTGTGTGTGTGTGTGTGTGTATATATATGAATTCAATTACTTCTATTACATCATCAATTATTATTATCAATTATTATCAGTGTTGAAAACTACGGATATAATATTTAATGGTGAACATTTACTGTTTTGTGGAAACCATGATATATTTTGATTAGTATTCTGTCACTTTTGTCGTATATCATGTATGAATGATTAGGAAAAGTTGTAAAGTACTATTATGCACTCTATGTTTTTGTTCTCAGAACAGTTTTGCAGGGCGCATCAAAAAGGCGTTCTGAAAATGCGCTAAAGTTTGGACCTTCTGACTTCTCGTATAACAACAAGCATGGCGTCCTCCTCTGATGTACATGTCCGAATATGTGGCCAAGAGATGATCAAATATGATCTGGAAATCAAAGCACTTATTCAGGTAGACTTCATTCTTTATATTAACGTATCTGCTATGGTCTTACTGTTAGGTTTGTCCGACAAGCTTACTGTAGTAATACAAAGATGTGGCCATAATTGTGTCTGTGAAGTCAGCATGAAATGGAAACAATCAATTCTTGTTTCAAGAAATCTTTTCTTTTCGTGTCAGGACATAAGAGAGTGCTGTGGGCCACAGGCAGTGCTTATGGATCTGAACTCTACAGTGAAGGAAAAGTTCAATCAGTTAAGAAAGAGTATTCAGGTACTTTCGTCATTTCATATAACCACATAGATTAAAAAAAGTCAGGGTTTCCATCAAACTACTGCAAAAAATATAATAATATGGGATCAAATTCTACATCTAAGAAGCTTCTAGAATCCATTTCATTTTGCTCTGTCAGTTTTATTAAACAATTGCTATTTATTTATGTTTAAGTGCTTTTATAATGCAGTTACGATTTTATTGTAGTTACTATTATGGCTAAAACTATTGTTAAACTGTCAAACTTAATTGTTTAACTAATTGTTATCCAACTGTCCATCACAAATCGGTAACATAGCTAGGATAATTTCAATCGTAACGGTATTACTATTATAATTGGATTATTGACGTTTTGTAGGTATTTATATAAATCTATAAATATTTAAATCGTTAACGATTCATTTAATGTAAGAATAACTTTGATATTGTTATCAATATTTGGTATAATGGACTGAAGCAGCTTAGGTTTACTTGATTATCCATGCTTTTTTTTAGTGTAAGTATCAAATATGACACAATAATATTCTGAGGAACTTTTATGTATATGTAACCCCTCTCCCCCGGGTCCTCACCGCCACACCTCGTTCTCGTTCCGAGTGGGTCTCCGGCATGGGATATAAGTCACATATACATCTGTTATTATTGTATTATATGTTTTGCCAAATCTTATTGATTTATATTACAAGCTGTTAGAATTTCTTCTTGCTCTTTGGCCATATAAATAACAACATCAGCATATTTTTGCTCCACTTGGACTACAACAATTGAGGTGTTTTTTTCTTCAAGTGTGAGCTCCATATTCTCTGATATCACACTATATGAGCCATAAAAGCCTGAAGTGTTGATTATGATATAAAACACATGTACCATTTTTTCCATTTTCTTTTATATTTTGTCTAAAGTTTCAAAAACTAGTGACTTAAAAAAAGAAAAAAAAAAGGCTTTACAGGGTTAACATGGCCGACGATCATTTTGATAGGACATGGAACAGATGGCAAAAGAACAAGACCGGGAGACTGATAAGCAAGCTATGTTGAGTGAAACCGAAGGCCATCTGAAGCAGATGTTAAGGTTAGAAAAACATTTCTTCTTTCTGATTATGTGTTGAATTACAATATGATCACTACTCCTGTGTTTCAGCAACCAGATGGCGTGGAGGAAGGCAAATCTGGCCTGCAAGCTGGCCATTGACAACCTGGAGAAGGACGAACTGCTTCAAGGTGGTGATTCAGTTAGACAAAGGTAAACCATGCGGCTTTACAGCTGCTGTCAGGGCTGCTATTTTCAGCCAGTCAGAATCAAATCATTGTGATTGACATTTAATCGTTTCTATGATGTTTGAAAAAATAAAACAATTGCACATTGATGTAGTATACATCATATTTACTTCTCAACGCTGTCCTAAGCCATATTATCTAAATGCATCTTGTTGTTGTGGTATTAGGAAGGCCACTAAAGAGAGTTTGGCGCAGACATCCAGTGACATCACAGAGACTCTGATGAGCGTCAGCCGTATGATGTCACAGCAGGTGCAGCAGAGCGAGGAGACCATCGGAACTCTGGGTAAAAAAGCCTATGTGCTCTGGGTCATAACAATCATGATATAAGGGTATAAATCGATTAAAAGAATAGTTTGCGGACATATGAGTAGAAATGTGACAGAATTGTCATATGTAGGTGATTTATTGCTATAGCTAATTCAAAGAAATCTCATTAGTCTAAGAAAAAAGTTGCTTTATTCTGCATGTTGACATCAAATGACCAGTTACTAATAGCAATAAAAATAACAATAATTAGTGCTCAAAGGAAGAAAGCATAAATGAATACATAAATCTAAACAAAACAAGCAAACCAAATACACAATGCTATATACACTACTGTTCAAACGTTTGGGGTTGGAAAGATTTTATAATATTTCTGAAAGAATCACTTCCACTCATCAAGGCAGCATTTCTGTGATCAAAAATACAGTAAGAACAGTTATATTGTGAAATAAGATTATAATTTAAAATAAAGGTAAAATAAAATGTTTTAATGTATTCCTGTGATGCAAAGCTGAATTTTCAGCATCATTACTCCAGTCTTCAGTGTCACATGATCCTTCAGAAATCATTCTAATATGCTGATTTGCTGCTTAAGAAATATTATAATTATCACATCATATTATACATTATATGATCTATCTATCCTCCCATCCATCAATCAATCCATCTATAAAATATATGAGTATTAGGGATGCACCGATACCACTTTTTTCAGAACGAGACCGATACTTTCATTTTTGGTACTCGCCGATACCGATACCTGTATTTTCACAGCATTTGTAATTTTTTTTTAAATATTGCGTACAGAAACAAAATAATAATAATATGAATCATGTTAGATGGCTTCATTTAGCAAACGGGTATTTCCTTCAGTTATTTCCACACGTAAT